CCCCTTCCCCCCCCCCCCAACATATTAGGATTTGGACAAAACGCGCGTGAAATTATTCCCTAATTTCACTCGTCACCATTTGATTACACATACTAATTCTTTTCGTCTACAAGTTGATGATTGGAAGCTCTAAAAATAACGGAGAAAATTATCCGAGAAAATGCTTTTGAACACAAGAAAAAGAAACCAGGGTTAAATTTAATCCCGGGTCAAGAGCTAATCGGCCTTCGAGCAACTGGGCTCTGCTGTTTCATTTATTTAGAAAAAACAACCCGTTCAGCCACGTGTTGCCAGAAATAAAAATGATGTTACAAGAGATGATTTATAACGAAGATTTTTTGTGCAGCAGTGTCGGAACAAAATTATATGATTTGTGAATAAAGTGTAACTTGATCCTAGATAATATTCTTTTAACTCCAGGACAAAAACGTTTAGCACCCACAAGCCTTCGATTCAATATGGGAAGCTTTATTATCAAGTCATGCGGTTCGACTGTGAATCACGTGAAAAAACGACCGGGTAGATACCGTGGAGCTCGTAACCGGCGTCCTGTTTCAGACAGGATTTCCTCCTACCCATCCCTCCCCCCGTTTGGCTTTTGTCTTAAACGTGTCATCTTCTCACGCAAATGACTCAATGAGATCTGGTGAACTTTTGCGAGGAAAGTGTCACCGATATATCCAAAGGGCATTCCAAATATCATTTGCTAAATATCATTTGCTATGTCTGTTAAAGGATGATACACCAAACGAACAGAAAACAAGATGCTCATAAAAGTGGGGTTTTAGTATGTGATTTTATTATTTTTTTTGTTTTTATGAAGCTTTGCAGCTCACACACACACGGGTTACAAGTGATCTATCCATCTCACTACAAAATACAATAAAAATCAATTTAACTGAAGAAGAACGCTAAGATGATTGCAGCCAACGCGTATTTCGTTGGTGATTTCTTTCGTGCCTTATATGTCTTTGTTTATTTTTACAGCATATTAATCGTACTAAGTATTTTCAATCTTATACTACTACAGGAGAAATTTCTGCAATTTGATTGGCTTAGAGCAGTGGTATTTCAGCTTAATTTGAAATACCTACATGTGAAAATTACAAAACCTTTGCGGGTAGTAGTATAAACAAAAAATTGCTAGATTTGCTAGATAATTGCTATCTATAGAGACTAATGCCCCATTCAAACCAACTAACCATCTTTAATTAAACCGGGTTTCAAAAAATGTGGCACAGTCAAAAGCCAAGAAAGACTGGAACGGAGACATTTGTCCAAAATTCCGAATAAACTTTAACACTGTCTGTAATTTGTCATTTGTTTAGCTAATCAGCTTTTAAACATGTTTAAGCTTTGGCGTGAATGAGGCATAAATTCTATACCACTGTACTTCTTAGCAATACCTTTAAGAATCTGCTTTAAATGTTCACTTTAAAAGAACATGTTTTAAAAACATAGGATATATAGGGTGTATATTACTGTCATTGTGTTGTATCTAATGAAATTTATTCGCATCATTCAAAAAAAATTTGATCAGCGTCAGCTGCTTATAAATGGCAATCAAGCAGATCAAGAATAGATAAAAAGCAGTAGAAGAAAATTGAAAATATCTTAATAAAGGGCCTGAGCACCTGTTCTCTTGTAGTCCTTTTAGATTCTACCAAGCATTAAAAAATCAAAAATAAGTATGATACACACTTGATCTTCCCTATGGCAATTTTAATTGCGTACTTTCTAACTTACTACCGCTACTGATTTTACTTCAACTACACTAGATGCTTTTTCCTGCTGAATAATCCATTTGGCCCTAATGAAGGGTACATATGCATTCAAACCACCAATCAACGGCGAGTGATTTATTCACGGAATTATAATCAACAGCTGGTGTCGCCCGGTTATGGCAACAGCTGTAGCAAAAAAGGGCTTACCTGCGCTGTGTCGTTACCGGTGGAATTTTTAGGGGCATCAAGAACCTATGTGGCCAGAATTTATATTTTTACCATCACTGTGTCTGCCCAGAACGTATCATCTGATTGAGTTTATCTTAAAGATAAGGTTTCCTCAAGGTTCATTAGCTGTCGGACCTTCCAATTCAATGAGCTATGAAATGGTATAGACTTAAGTGACTACAACAGATGTACAATTACATTAACCTTTCATATTATTAAAAATCCCTTTAACTCTTGCTAGTTATATAAGCTACTTCTTGATTGAAGTGTTGTCTTGTAAAGTTGTATCTGATACAATTGTTTTTTTCAGCTTTATGATACATTTTAGCTAAGCAGTGGAGTACACTGACTGAATTTTTTTGCACTAGATTTTTTTATGGTGCAGATTTGAAGACTTTAAGACCAAAATTCAAGGTTTTACCTCTATGTAGAATCTTTTTGCCTTCTTATACTGATCAGGAGCCGACTGTACTTATACTTATACTATTTTTTTTTTTTTTTTAATGTTACTTTTCTTTCTTTCTGAGGGTGAATTTTCCAATAATTATATTTGGATAGAGTTGTAAATATTAGTTTCTTTTAAGTGTAGATATTTAACGCATTTTATGTTTTGCTCTTTCGTAGATATTAGCTCTGTAAGCTACTCTAAAATTCGAGTGTGAAGTTATGTATGTATATTTGTATGCATGTCATCATCATCAGCATCAAGTCTCGTCGCGCCCAGTAGCCGCATGAGGCCTCCACGCTGTCTGACCGACACTGACTTTCTATCTCCTGCAACCGCTTTGGCTACTTCCCAGCTTTGTTTCGTTCTTTCTCGACTGTCCTTCTCCAAGCAGTTTTTGTCTTCCTCTCGCCCTCCGACCTTCAGGAGTCCATCACTCAGCAGTGTTACTGATCCCGTCCCTTCTCATGGTTTTCTTTAGCTTGACTGTACTGGCCAAGGTCACGGTAAACTGTTCCCAGGTTGTCGTAGCTATCTGCTACCTTACCATGCTGTTCACCGTAAATCTCTTTTCTAATGATCAGAGTCTTCTCATGGTTTTCTTTACCTTGACTGTACTGGCCAAGGTCACGGTAAACAATTCCCAGGTTATTGTAGCTCGCTGCTATGAGACCAAGGTGTTGACCGTAAATCTATTTTCTAATGATCAGAACCTTCTCATGGTTTTCTTTAGCTTCACTGTACTAGCCAAGGTCACTGTAAACATTTCCGCGGTTATTGTAGCTTGCTGCTACGAGACCATGGTGTTCACCGTAGATCTCTTTTCTAATGATCAGTGTCTTCTCATGGTTTTCTTTAGCTTCTTTATACTGGCCAAGGTCACGGTAAACAATTCCCAGGTTATTGTAGCTTGCTGCTACGAGACCATGGGGTTCACCGTAAATCTCTTTTCTAATGATCAGAGCCTTCTCATGGTTTTCTTTAGCTTCACTGTACTGGCCAAGGTCACTGTAAACATTCCAGCAACCGAAGATCGTCTCTCGCTTGGGGGTTACTATGGGGCCTATCGGCCTTAGGGCTTCCTGCTGGCTCCTTGACCCAAGAGCGTCATTGCAGCCCCACCAGCAACACCCATTTTCCCGCCAAAATGACGTTGTTTTGCGCTCGTGGACTACTTAATATTATTATTCCACTATTACGACATTTTACCATATAAGGTCAAGAGAACGCGCCAAATACGTGGCCGTTATACACTGTACTGTCCTGGTTTAACCGGTTTGCAACAGGGCGAATACCGGCGACCTGAACTTCTGCGAGAGCAGTGAAAGAAGACGAGTGCGTTCATCAAGCGGCGGTTATAAAGCCCGAGAGTGAATAAACACGGAAATAATGCGAAATGCCTATGAAATACCTGTTTAACCTTTTTTTTTTTCAAATGTATCTTTGATAAATACTCCTCCACAAGTTCAAACAGTGTGATTGGCAGACAAAAATACTTTAACACTTAATTTTTCACGTCGAATCGTGCGGTGGTCGCATGGCCCAGTGGTACGAGGCTTCATTGGAGGATGTTGCGGTGCACGTACCAATCCCGGCGGGGCTACTTGCAATTTTTTTGTTTCGGTTTTTTGCTTTTCATCCTTTGGCTTGTTTCATTTATTCTCATTGTTGACCCTTTTTAGCTTCGCGAGATTTTTGTGATAACGTATTTCTAACGTCATTCTCACAGTCGGAATCAGGATGTTTCTGAATACTCTACCAAAAAAATAGAGGCCAATTGCAAAATAACATTTTTTTTTTTTGTGGTGGAGTAATAAACCTCTTATTCGATGGTTTAGCATATAACACGAGCGGACATTTTGCTCATTGCTCGTATTTACACATACTATATACTAGGCAATCGCAAAATATCCGCACGTATTATATGCTAAACCATCGAATAAGGTGTATGTATTGAGAAAATCTCGTTCTCGTACTCGTCTTCGTCTTAGAATGTAAAGTCCTCTATTTTCTTAAGCTTCCCGAACGGAATGGAACGAACCATTTTATTTTCCAACTGCAATAGTTCCGGTGTTAATACTCCATGTTTACTGTTCCGAACCCTCCGACTGCTGGAACAGCGGGTGGCGACATATTGGGCAGGTGCGTCTGCAAGAAACAAAAGATTTTTTAAAGAAGAAAAAGAGCAGGGAGGATGAGTACAAGATTTGGGTATAGTCAGAGTTCTGAGATTGATTGGATGGACAGGCATTAGTTACGATTGGTGGATGGTATGCAAGGCAGCCATTAACCGATCATAATTGAGTAACGTTTGTCCACCCAAACGATCCCAGAAGTCGTTGCGCCGAATGTTCCTAGAATGAGAAATTAGTGAAAAAAGAAGTCCATGGGGAGAAACTATGGGATCGAGGTCTTGATGGCGGAGAAAAAAAAAACAAGCAGAACGAGCGGGTGGTAACTGATTGGCTAAAAGCACACGCATACGCATAATTCACCATAAACAGTTACTGATGACCAAATTTGGAAGAATTTGTGTTTAACGAGGAAATGACGTCAAAAATGCAGCCCGCTACAGGTTAAGGCACCGTTACCGAGAGGACCTGGGGAAGAGGTTGAGTTGTTTTGATTGTAAAAACAAAAATGGTGGACACTTCACTTGTTTCAAGAGTAAGAACTACAGCTGGAACTAGGCGAAATAATAGCTAGAAACATAGCAAAAACAGCAAGAAGACAACTCGGAAGGCGACATATGCTGTTTGGGGAATATTTGCGGAGCTGGACAAACCTAAACGCACACTATCGAAGATGAACCCAACATCGATGCAGGCAAGCATGTTTTAGCTATGTTTTTAAACTAGGAATTACTTTGAATGAATAATAAAGCAATTAATGAATTCCGCTTTCGTAGGATATTTAACAGTTACTGAATGAGGCGGAGTATCTTATGAAGAATTATGAAGATCGAGGAGGGTGTTATCCGTCGAGGCCGTAGGCCGAGGCGGATAACACCCTCCGAGATCTCCATAATTCTTCATATGATACGAAAGGCGAATTCAATAACTGTTTTATTTTTCATTCAAAATAATTCCTAGTTTAAAAACATAGCTAAAACATGCTTACCTCTATCGAGGTTTGTCCAGCTCCGCAAATATTCTCCAAATAGCAGATGTCGCCCTCCGAGTTGTCTTCTTGCTGTTCTTGCCATGTGTTAAGCTTTTTTTTCGCCTAGTTCTTACTCTTGAAACGAGTGAAATGTCCGCCATTTCTTCAAGTTCACAACTCAACCTCGTCCCCAGGTCTTCTCGGTTAACGGTGCCTTAACCTGCGAAAACGCTGCAATTTTGACGTCATTTCCTCGTTAAAGTCCAATTTCTTCCCAATTTGGTCATCAGTAACGGGTAATGGTGAATTAAACGTGTGCTTTTAGCAAACAAAAATCGGGGAAATATTTTGAATGAATAATAAAAAGAATTAAGAAGACCTCGGCGGGTGTTATCCATCTCGGCCTTCGGCCTCAGTGGATAACACCCTCCCGATCTGCTTAATTCTTCATATCCTACTCAGCATCATTCATTAATTGCTAATTATAATAACGGTGTTCAAATTAAACGTAAATCCTCTACTAAGCACCACGGGGGGCTTATTTATTTCAAGCCCATTTGAGGGGGGGAGGGGGAATTTAATTTAGAAACAACGATGGTATCAGTTCTCCACAAAGAACTAGAATACAAAGTGGAAAAGCTCAAGTACAAGAAGTTTTAGGTCATGCAGTCGAGGATCAGAATCAAATCCGATCTTGCGGTTGGTAAGTAAACCATCCCGGATCAGTCTACATAAAGTTTTACAGTCGTGTTTGATTAATACAATCTATCATTTATTAGTGAAGAATAAATAGGGGAGGGGAGGGGGGGGGTGCTTATTAGAGGGGGGGCTTAATAGAGGATTTACGGTAAAGAAGATTTTGAAAATCACTCTTTTCACTGTGCCACTCATTATATTACATTCTGATCGATAGATATCTCATAGAAGTATGTTTCTTGGAATTCTTACACTAGTAAATGTTTCCAAAATGTGCTTCTTGCTCTAAATAAACTATACGGGGTGTCTACAAATACTAATCTTAAACATTTCATTCATTGTTAGTTTTCGTTGAGATCTCGAAAATTGAAGCTGGAATTGAAAATTCAATATGCTTCATTTTTACTCACATTCCGTTTTGAATCATAGCTATAGCACAGTCCTTATGCACTTTATGGGAGCAAGGGAGAATCTGACAGCCACTGAAAGCATCCTGTCATTCAAAAGAAAAAAAGTTGTTTACTGTTGATGTACATGTAAACATAGTTAACATTTAATAACAAGTGTAATTGTACTTACTGCCGAGAGTATATTTAACAATTATTCCTCGAGCCCGAATGGGCTCTGAGTCAATAGCCCATGAGGCCGAAGGCCGAATGGGCTATTGACTTAGAAGCCATGAGGGCGGAAGGAATAATTGTTTTAGTAAAATCCGACTATAGTCCCACGCCATTGCCTTGGTACAAGCAGAGGCAATCAATGGATCGAGAAATCTGTCTAAATAACTGGACAAACTAAATAAATAACCATGTTGGGAAAATTGCTAAGAGAAACTAGCAACTTTTAAAAAAGCAGCTATATAAAGTCAATTTGGAATGCCCAGATTTACGATAAGTAGCTAAAACTTTATATTTTACCTCCAGGCAAATGCAGCATTCATCATGGCCAGAGTCTGGTCGACATTTGTGTTTCCCTTGAAGTCTTTTGTCCAAGCAAACGTTGCATACGTTACAGTGGAAAGACTTGTCACGATGGATTCTGTGCAGTTAAAAATAAACTGTTTTAATGGATGAGACACCTGGTATGATAATGAAAGATAAGTTGCCCGAATGTACTAAACAGCACGAAGAAGCACCATAAACAAATAAAAAGGAGATTTTTTTTTTTTTGAAATTTTATCCCATTTGTTGCAGAGTCTGGTATTACCACGGAAGGGGCATTGAGTTCTTAGATTGAAGATAAAAGAAGGATTTTCCGAACTACCGCCGGGTCGCACTTCCTATTTCTTGTGAACACAAACTGGACCGTGTTGAAATGCCTCAACCGACCAAAGACAAAGTTTTATGTACATGGGAAGTGAGGATATAAATCCAAAGATGTCACCTGGTAGTACAGAGATAATAAAAATGGGGTTGTTTTTGGAAGGCGGACTTAAAATTCCCAACTATTACCACTTGTCCGTCACCGCTTACTTCGCAGCAGTAGCGATTTTATATTGCTCTCATTTTTCTAGTGCATGGATGAACTCAACCCAAAAAGACATTCAAAGCCCCGTTTCTTTGGCGATTACGTGCTCTGTCCGCGTTACATTTCGAGCAGATAAAAGGATGTAGTCTTTGCACTTCATATGTGCACCAGTGTAAACGCATTAGGCATTGGTCAATGCTAGCAGACTGATATCTACAACGACTTAATGAAGTCAAAAAATATTTGGATTTGCCCTTTAAAGGTTTCGCTTTTCCGATTTTATTCTTTTTTTTTTAATCGACATCTTGGCTAAATTTTAACGGTGATTCTCGTTTGATGTCGCCATAATTCCGATGTAGAGCAAATATTAGGGAATACCTTATCGATATTGGAAACCGCTTTTGGTCTGCGCTGCCCAATAAGCATGTACGATATTACGTTATTATTTTTTCCTGAACTGTTATATACCACCTTCGCGTACCTACAGATACCACACTTGTCACAATGGAATGGATTCTTGTCGAGTGAGGTAAAATGTTTACAGATGGCGCAGAAATAATCCGCCAGTTTTAAGTTACAGCCACGACACTTTTGACTTCCTTCATCGATCTAAAGTTTTTGAATATAAGAAAGTATGTCAGAATAATAATTTGTACTGGCCATGTTTTGAAAGGGGCAATATTTTGCAACGTCAAAAAAAGGTAAACAAACTTAAATTATAGACTTAATCATGTCCTATAGACATCAATACTGTTTTCACCACAAAATTCTCGATGCGGTGATTCTAGCTACATAGTCGAACTTATGAATAGGTACAAAAAGTAAATGACTAAAGCTAAGGTTCAAGTCAACTCTCCTTAAGACTATATGACTGCGATTTTGCTAAAACGAACACCTAGGGATTGTCTCGCGCTTCTTCACTCCTGTTTATATGTGATCTGACTTGAGTACAGTTGAGTCAATTAATAGATCTCTGGAATCTGTCATGTTACCTTAATTTGAAAACTAACTATGTCATGATCTTACCACTTGTTCATGGTAACAGATGGTACATCTGATATGTGTAGCGTTTATGGCCCTTGCTTGGTCATCAGTGCATGCGGCCGACTCATTGTGACATCTGTGACAGGGGTAGAAACGCCCACAGCATGGAAAACGGACAAGGCATCGCCGCTGATAATGACCGCATGCAGGACGCGGGCTTTCTTGCACAGGCGAGGTATGGTCTTCTTCCTCGGTGTCCGTCGCTCGTTCATTCCTCGGAAGAGAGGCTGCTCGTTCTTCTAAATATGCTTCGCCGTCAGTTCCCGTACGATCACAGTTATGACCCACTGCTTCTTCTTGAATACTTAATTTTTCTGTGTGCTGATCTTTGTTTTTGTCATTTTTTACTTGCTCTTCGCTGGCATTGATCGAAGCAAAGAGATTAACAGTTGTTGACATGACCATTCGAAGACATTCTAAGAGAGATTCCTGGGATCCTTGATTTGAATTTGGCTTCAATTTGTTTACACCAGCGGAGCCTCCTTCCGTATAACTGTCTGAATATCCTGGGGCTTCACCTTGGCTACCCTGTTCAATCATGAATTCGTCTGCCAGTGAACGCATTTCTTGGTAAGAGCTACGAGACATTGAGTTGTCAAACAGTGGTTCACAATCTTGCTGCAAAGCTCCTTGATTGAGATATTTTGCGCATTCACCGCTGTCCCTAGCCGGGAAATAACCTGTTTGGACGCAGTGTTCTGAATTCACTAGCAGAGCTGGAAAATGCCAGCTTTCGTCTTGCTCGGGCAAAGGAGCCTGGCTCAAAGTCCTAGTATGGACAGAGCTCTCGATAGTACTGCTGCCTGTGAAAACAACCTTTTTAAATGAATTTTGGCAGCTGTTATTTGACAAGTGGCTATTTGGGGGGCCGTATGTTGTTATTCTAGGCATACTGTTTACATTGCCGAAGGTTCTAGCTGAAAAATAATGCTCCCGAATATGGGTTTCTCGAGGATCGTCCCATGTTGCCACATTGACGTTAGTGTTGTATAATTTAGATGTTTGCAGGCTGTTAATAACTGCATGGCGCTCCACAAATTTAGGATCCAAACCATAGCCGATTTTTCCAGGTGGATAAGCAGGTGTTAAATCGACTCGACCGGCGCTGTCAGAATAGTCTTTTCCTGCTACAAGGAAACCTTGCTTTGGTCTGGCACCACCAAAATTAGGAGACGAGTGACTGGCATTTGTGACATTTGAAGACGTTTGTTCTACAGAGCCATCGATTACATCTGGATTTCCAAAATTGTTCGGACAATGGTTCCGGATATGTTTCTGCTCGTCAATATTCTTTGAACCACCAGATCCTTCGCTTGCTCTGCCCCCCTCGAGTATTATTTTCTCCTTCTTAACATTTGACTGGTAAGAGCAAACGGCTTTCAAAGCAGGACTGGCCGCAGCATGTTCTGATTGTTGAAACGGGACCCCTGGTGTACACCCATCAGCTACTGCATCACCCCCATAAAACGCAGATCGCGACTTGGGTTGCATCCAATCTTTGCTATTATCTTCGCTAATCAAGAAGGGTGGGGCACTAAATACCTGATTAGCTGTTTGCGAAAATGACCGACTACAATAATCATTTTCTGCATCATTTTCTCTTGGAGACAAAGTTTGAGCACTAGTTTCCACCTTTTCTTGGTCTTGAGTATTTGAATTGGGTGAGTTGGGACCGTCGAAAACATCTTTACTTGACTGTGGGGGAGAGTTTGAAGCAAAACAACCGACGGTTAAACGGCTTTCCAATGGTAGCAGTGGTAGGACACCAGTTTCTCTCCCAGCTTTGATGGACAATTCTTTATCCCCACCATTTTTGGCAGCCTCTGGACCTAATTCACCACACGTATCGCTATCCCTTCCATCTTCTAACTGCCGAGGATTGATTTTCCCATGACTTCCAACATGGCTTTCCGCTCTCTTCATAGCCAGTTCAACCAATGCCAATGATCTATTTTGATCACCTTGGAAAGGTGCGACGTTTTTTTTCAAAGAACCAGATACAACCGCTTCTCCGCCGTCTTCAACACCTGGTTTGGGGACATCGTTTGCAGCGGTCTTACAATTAATTTTGCACTTTCTTTGAGCCTCGTTTGTTTGAATGCCTTCCCTCTTTTGCAACACGCTATTTCTACCTACCAGGCTTTCTTCAATGATCTCAACTACACAGGGTTCATTGGCAGTAACATTCATGTCTCCAGGGTTGGGCGGAGTTTTTACAAAAGCTGTTTTGTCGTTGCTTGCCTGGTTTTCTCCCGTTCTTTTCTGATTCCTCGAGTCAATTAAAGATTCTGAACTGCTGTGATCCCTTCCTCTGTTTTGTGACTCTTCCCCCTTGTCGTTTGGAATAATGCCCTCATTTTCATGCCCTTCGGAGACTTCACAACTGACTGTAGAATGCTCTTTCTTTCTGTCGCTTTGGTCCCTATCCTCTTCGTCCTCTCCACCAAAAATCGCGAAACTGTTTTTGCCAAAGACACTTTGACTAGCTTCATCGCGTGGACCTTCCACAAAAGAGCTTATTTCGCCATTAAAGACTTTTTTTGCAGACACATCAAGGACTTTTGACTTCATTTCCTGCCACGTGTCCTTTTTCCTCAAGCGCTCCTGAAAGTCTGTTATGAATGATCGTCTTGACTTCATGTCTTCCTCAAACAATGTTCTTCCCAAAAATACGGAGTCTTCCTTTGCTCGAGTCTCTGTTTGCTTTTTCTCGAGTGATAGTTGATCTGCTTCTGTAGACACCGAATGGTCTCGTTCCAATCTTGCTGAATCGCCTCTTTCACTATCATGTTTAAAACTGCAGGTCGTCAGTTCAAAATTGCCGGAAATAATTTCCTCAGAGCCACCATTAGACGTCAAGCAAACTTTAGGGTATGACATTGGCTCTTCATCAGGCGGACTGGCCATACCATCCAGAGCTGATAACGTCGTAGCAGTAACAATGTCATCTTCGGGTTGGATCTCTTTATCAGAGAGCTGACGGGATAGCCGACTGAATTCTGTCAGGATCTCGAAAGTACCCACTTGAATTTCTGTTCGTTCAGCTTCCTGCTAACAAATAATGACAAATTGAATGGTTTGAACCTTGGAATCAATTATCATAAGGTAGGTGCATTATGATCATCCGGGTACAAAATGTAGTTCTAAATAAGTCTGTTGTTGGTAGTTACTATGCACCCTGTTCGTTATTCATCTTAAGGATAGGGAGAAAAGGGAGTTTTGCCTCGTAAATAGGCCGTTTTACCGTTGTGGATGGAAGCAGGCTGGAGTTGACCTTGTTTTGATACAAGCCTTCCTGCTTTATTATTAATGAAAATCAAGTTATTTTTATGCTAACTAGTATTTTTCGAGAACAATTTTCGTAACAAAGCAATGGAAGTTTGTACTTTGTACCAAAACAAGGTCACCGTCAGCCTCCCATTCACTCGAAGGCTAAGGTACTAAGTCCACAACCGTAAAATGGCCTATTGCAGGTATTAAACGGCTGACCATCGGCATTGTTGCTTAGCCTTCAAAATAAAAGGGACTTTCAATCTGACGACGCGATGGCCGCGAAAACGTCCCATAAGAAGTGAATTTACATTCTTCCAGTCTTCATCGCGATTATTCCTACGGCATACCCATTCACTTTTATCAAAAGTAGGCAAACCCCCCTGGAGTTTAATTGCTAGGCCAGGATCTCTATCCAAGCTCAGAAGGAGAAACAAAATTTCGTCGTCGCTTGTTTACCTCCTCCTAAAGGCGACTTTTTGATTTAGGATGATTTAGTCATGTAGTCATGCAAAAACGACAAAGACATTTACAAAAAGTTTTAATGCACGTGTAAAGTTGTTCTTTTGCCCTCTAAACGTATTGTTTGCTTTTTTTTTTTGCGATCTCGTTGGCATCGCGTCGTCGGATCATAAACTCTCTAATAAGTAGTTATATGGGTTTATTCCATAAGAGTCAAAAAGAGAACCTATATCGGCTCGCGGATCACACAAAAAGTAGAAACTAACAACGAAAATGGGATAAGTCAATCGATTTTGATTGAAAACCTTTAACACACGTAGAGTACAGAAACAATAGTTTTCTCTGCATAAAAATCTTTATGTCGTGAAGTTTGCCCAACAACGCCAATGGTCATATTTCGAGCTTGGGCCACCTGTGATCTAAGTTAGTAAACCTGCTTTCTAAAGTGAGTCGTTGGTAGTCAGTATTTTGTAAAGTAACCAATGCTTTCAGTAAATTGCTAGTCGAAGAAATGATTTTGCTAATGTTGTTCAGCCATTTCTTGGGCTCGTTTGTGTTCAGCCAGTCAAGTGACTAACCACAAACAAGCGACAATCCTTACTTGACATCATATCGATGAAACTGGAGTAGCATAAAGAAAGGTCGTTCGAGGACTCTCAGCTGAAAGGCAAAGGATGATGATGACGATGATGTTAAAGTTTAGCAAAGGAATATTGTTTGGTTTAATAAACATAAACGACTTGTATGGGTGAGTGTAGCCCCAGGGTCAGTATTAGCGGAAGATTAATAATCCCCTTCGATCTGGACTGAGTTGGATAAGCAGCCTAACCAAGTGTTGGAAAACGCAGTTCTAGCATTCCATTAATGCTGTTATGTAACAGTGTCGACTGAAATTCCATTACTTTATTTCGATGATATGAAATCATATGATGAGTCTTAGTAACCTCTATATTTCAGTATACTGTACCCTGGATGCCTCTCAGGCAACCCCAAGATTTACACAAATTAATAACACTTACATTTTCTTCACTGTAAACTGGAGAACACTCCCCCTTTCGTTGAAATTCTTTCGAGGGAGGGACAGCTGCCTTCAGGCAATTATCGTTGGCATACTGAGGCTCATCCAAGAAGGCACATTGCCGTCTCACTACACTGCCCTTGCTTCGTACTCCATGTGTGCTTGTGAGTGTTTCCGAAAATCGCTCAATAGCAAATTGCTCAATAGCTTTGCAGCAAGGACTTGAGCTGCTGCAAAAATCCTCTCGAAAGTTGAGTTCTCGACTCATTTCATCCAGCTGAGTTGTACTGTCAGTAATACGTATGACTTGGACCTTTTGCATGATTGATATATCCTTTTGCCAAAGGGTCACCCTAGCTCTGACTGGATCGAGAACAGTAAGGACTAGACACTCATCCTGTGGCCTCAGGGCCGAGGTCTCCTCCCAAGTACAGTTCTTAAGAAACCAAAGAGAAATCTTGCTGAACATAGCACAAGTTGTTTGCTTATCAGTAAAGTTCATGCATGTTATTCTTTCGCACAAACCAGGGTTCATCTCAGAAATGATTCTACATTCGTTGGGTATCTTGCTCTGGCTGACTTGTTCAAGTAGGCAGAGAGGAAGGAGCTCAATACGACTGCCGCATGTCATGATATCTTGCTCGCAACAGCACGTCAGATCGACAACAGCCTGAGTTGCATTACGTTCAAAACCAAGAGATTTCAGTTGGAAAAACTCTTGGAATGAATGCAATACCTTCTGTTCCAACTTCTTCACATCATCGACGTCCATAAAGAAGGGTGAACTGAGAGACGCTACTAAATTACAACTTGGCTTATTGCTTCTCCAGGCTAAGCTTCTGAACAAAGGCTTTCCAGAGAGGTGGCCCTCCCAATCGCTTTTGTTTTCAAAAATCGCCGAAGAGACAAATACGTCTTGTACTGCAGTTTTTCCATTGCAGGTTACTGACGTTCTAGACGCGTACACCTGAAGTGCGCCATCCAGCGTTAGAAAACACCGGTCGTCGTTTGGAAATTGGCTGGCATAAAAATCATAGGCAGCAAAAGTAGTATCATGCGTTTGTAGGTGAATAGACAGCAACAGAAAAAATATCAACAATAGCTTCAAAGTCATCTGGTTGTCAAACGTTAACTTCTCTTCTTCTTCTTCTTCTTCTTCTGAATGCCCCTCAATGCTTTCTTCATTACCATTTGCTTCCGCTTCTGCCTTAACGTCTTCCAAATAACTGCTTAGAGCAGGAATCTTCAGTTTATTTTTAATTGTCAGTTTTGCCTGACTGATGATAGTACACAGGTGTACCAATGCTGCATTAGGACAAGCGATATTGTTTGTCATACCATACCTGCCTGCTTGTTTAAAGAAGGCGAGGGCTTCTTTGGTCATTCCGTGTTGGAGGAACGTCTTGCCACTTTGTAAAAGGTCACGCATGCATTTCTGAGAAATTACGAAAGTGGACTCAAGATGTCGAACTCTCACCACTTTTCCAAATTGTGGTTGCTTTCCCTTCTGCTTTTTCTTTCGGGAGGCATGAATGTCTTTTACTCCTAGCTGACGAACCAGAACGGCTAACGCTAGCCCATACTCTGCAACAAGACCTTCAACTATTTCCTCCTGTATTTCTCTTCGCTGATATTCCGAATGTGAGTTGTCTTTCGTGCTCCTTGTCAGTTCGAGGTACCTCATGGACAGCTGGTCTGGTAGTGAAACTTGGTGTATGATCTCTACGTTTTCCATTGCACGCTGAAAGTAAAGACGTGATTCACCTGCACGGTCTAATCGAAAGGCTATATCACCAAGTGACGTGTAGCAGTTTATGAGTAGTTGGTGCTTTTCGCCAAAGATTAATCTCCATATCTCCTTTGCGTCCTCAAATTTCTTCAGTGCACTGGCTAACTGACCCATAAGTGTCAAAATCGTCCCTTGCTTGTACAACAGTGAAGCGAAATCAAAATGATCAAAGCCAAAAACTTTTTTGACAATTTTCAAACCTTTTTCGAGAAGTTCACAAGCAAATTTAATTTTTCCAATTTGGACAAGGACGTCAATCATCTTTTCAAATGACTCAATCCTGACGTTTAAGTGAAGTCCCTGGAACACTGGCATTAGTTCCTGCACGCTTGCCGAAGTTAACGCTTCAAAAGGAAATGCTCTTTCTGCTTCATCGTGCTTAGCACGAAGTAGCAGTACCTCGCAGAGTTGGAGATGAACAAAATTAAGTAACAAGTCACACTCATCTCTTTTCAATTTCTTGCAGAGCGTTTTAAGAAATTTTAACTCTTTTTCTGCTTTTGCGAACATAGCGAGAGTCGTGTACAGATTTGCTTGGTTTAGCAAAACCGTGAAAGCTGTTTGAAACGGAAGCTCATTATCCTTTGCTTTGCATTTTTCGACCAGTCGTTTCTGTTCCGTCACTGCCTTAGAAAAATATCTACAAGACATATCTAAACGACATGTGTTGCTCTCCACTGCAGTCATCATAGAGTCTATGCCTGAGAAGCAGGATTGTTTTTTCTTGCAGCAATTTAAATGTCTAAGCGAATTCTGGAAATCGCTGCTCGCCTGCTTGTATTCGCCTGTTATCAATAAAATGCAGCCTCTGTTATTAAAAGAAGCTCCCATACCACGCAAGCGACTTGTTGAATCTGATTGTTCGTTGAGCTCAATCAAAATACTGAATGCTTTTTCGGCAATCTGAAACTCTGACGTTTCTGTAGCAAATGCTCCAAGAACGTTGACCAGCCGTGCATAAAAATGAGCATTACCTGGATCCAAAATGATGATACCGTGTTTAACAGAACAACTCACGCCTTTCTCGCCTCCCCACGTCCAAAATAGCTCCTCTCCATGTTCTAATACTTGCAAGTCATGCCCCGAAGGCGTCTTGAAGCTTCTTGAATCTAATTTTGACACTAGTTCAAAAACATCTCGTAATCTACATCGAGACTTTGCAATGAAATCGCTGTGCAGTAAGTTCATTGCTTGTTCAAGTATCCTTATAGCCATCTTGGCGTCCTCTTCATTGTTATCCCTCATGACATATAGTTGACATATTCGATCAATCTCATTTCTTTCGTCAATGAGAAGAACCCTTTCGATCTTAGTGTCGCTGTCATCATCTCTGCTGGGACAAATTTCTGGAGGTTTTCGATCAACCACGCTTCTTTCTTCGCCAAAATGACCTCCTTCAGCGGAGGACGTTGATTCACTGTTGTGTACTGAAATTAAGAATACAGTAGGGAAATACATTCTGCATTAATGGTTACTCCTAAAACATTGAAACAAACTTGCGGTAGTTAATTTTCTTACATATAACAATGACTCATCATCTCAACCAAATCTGCCCTCATATTCTTTTCTCCCTGGCGACTTTTGAAGGCTTAGAAATAAACGGAATTTTTGTGAAACAGCTTTTTTTTATCATTAATACTAAATACTAAAGACAAGAGACAGTTGGATAAGGGCAATTTACAGACCGTAGTATTGAAATAGAGTACAAAAGGATATCAAGTCAAATGCACCACCAATGGACATATAAAATAACGAAACAGTCTTCACGCGCGATGACGTGCTGGTGTTTTATTATAAGCGGAGAGAGAGGGTGGGGAGGGGGGGAGAGGCACTCCTCACCCACCAAAAAGTTGAATAAATTTAAAACCGTTCAAGCTATTACCGCTCAAAATTTTTAAGTCGTCGTGTACGTCCGCATTAGCGTTATACATGACAATCGAGTTTCCACAGGCAGAGTTTTTCTTTACAACGATTTCATTTATATTTTTAGTTCAAAAAACTCAATAATCTTATATCTGATAAAGATCGACACGGCTTAATATTACGTCCAATTTTTTAGACCATAATAACCCCAGATCTAAATAATGGTGCAAGAATGAGTTGATCTATATTAGAAATTTCGAAGCTGTCCAACAAACGGGCAGGAGTGTATTATCAGGTTTAAAAACTCTTTTCTTCGCCTCGAGCTTTTAAACCTGATAATAAACTCCTACTAGTTTTTTAACCAGTACTTATTGAATTATTATAAGATAACTAAGATAGTACGCGTGCTCTGATTAGCCAAGAGGAGTGTTTGCTTCAGAGTATGTAAACAGCGTTTGACTAACAGTCGCTGTTGCGAGTTGGATGTCGCGGGTGGGAAAAATTATTTTGCGTGGAATTCAGGTTAGACTTCGAGGTAAATGACTAAAAATGACTGATAATATATAGGCAATAAAATATAAGCCACTAAAAAGAATTCTCCTTTTAAGGGAGGGTGTAGGTGATTGATAAAAAATATCCCGCAAACACAACTGAAATGGAAAAACTCCCATCAAAATTTAAGTCTTGATACGTTTACAGCAAATTGCGTTTATGCACGATACTCTTCGTCACGTTAGTGGGCATTGTTCCCTGTTTTCATATTTGTATATCTTTGAATGTAACCGTTATTGTTGTCAGTTGCCTGATGATTGCTTCGTGAGAAGCATGAAACTGAGAGTTGCAGATAAATGTGTTTGAATCAGTCCAACTCCAGAAAACTATATTATATACTTTTTATATTTTATATATCAGATACTGTTATGCATAACTGTAAAGACTAACTTACAGATAACTGTCAGTCCAGGCACGATATTAAAGAAACATAATTACGGCAAGCATAAAAGTCGGCCCAATCTTTCTTTTAGGTCTTTCCTTTAGACAGTAATATTGCCTCTAACATTCGTAAACCTTAAAATTGGCTGTTGGCTGCTACGAAGGGTATCGAGATTAAAAAATGATCTTTTTGCTGTAAACGTATTAAAACTTTACGTTTGATGAGAGAGTTTTTTCATTTCACTTGTGTTTGCGGGATATTTTTTAATAATCACCTACACCCTCCCTAAAAAGAAGGATTCTTTTTAGTGGCTTAGATTTTATTATCTAAACCTTATCAGTCATTTTTAGTCATTTACCTGGAACTCTAACTTGAATTTCACGCAAAATCATTTTTCCCACCCGCGACATACAACCCGCGACCCGCGGCCCTTAGGCAAACTCATGTAAACATGGTTGTGTCCTCAGCATGTTTTGCTCATCGCGCTAATCACGCGTGCACGAATTTGAGAAAGGTTTTTGAGTTGAAAACTCGACAAGTTTACTTTATTTAGCCATTCCCTCGTGGCTGAAACTTGAAAAATCTTTACAAAAATGCTGTGTCCATTTTTTTTATTCGCTTTAACTGACATTTTAAGCGAGAAAAATCCGTGTTTTTGGAAAGTATCTTTTTTAGCACGACTTCGCGACTGGTGAGAATCTATCCCTTAATCAGGGCCATAACAAAGAGTTTTGCGTTTCTTCTCGGGGATCGCGAAGTTAATTTATAAAAGGAGTAGAAAACTTTTCTCCTGTATTTGCATGACTTCGTCTCAAGTTTGCTTAACTGTCGAGAATTCTCCCAACCCTCAAGTGTTTATGTCAGGCTATACAAATAGGGAAAACGTTTTCTACTGCTTAATTATTTATAACATTGCACGCGTGATTGCCCTATATAAGTCCAATTGAGTAGCTATGAAAAAAAAAATCTCTATTTACGCATGCACATGCGTAAATAAGATGACGCGTGCAGTTGTGTCTATGAAACTAAAATGTTCGTCTCTTTCTCTCAGCTTAGTCTCCAATAATATAGATAATGATGAATAACTTTCAAAAAATATTTACTTCCAGTTTGAGAAAAAGAATCTTCTATCAAGCTAGACGATTGTGGCGTGTTTGTAACCAACCAATTGAAGCATTTGTCTTTCCGTGTTGTGTGTTACGAGAATGTCGTAGTTAATCAAAAAGCATGCATTTTTGTTAGCTATGATAAAAGAATTGCTTCCTGCCTTTAGCTGTGTGTATATTAAGTTATGGATGCACTCGGAAAGTTTGGAGGGAACTCAAGAAGGTAGAGTGCTCTCGGCTACGCCTCGAGCAACTCTTACGCTTCTCTGGTGCTCTCCAAACTTCCCGCGTGCATCCATAACTTGATATACGCACGCTAAGCATGAGCCGATTCTTAAATTACACTGAATTTAGTATTATTTTAAGCGACCAATTTTAAAATCATCAAATGGCAGATACTGGATTCAGTTTTTAACAGTGTTCATTTCTCTCGAAATATCATAACTTGTAGATTTTTTTCGCTTCCTATGAATTCTCTTGTGTAGTACACAGATCAAATATTCTATCACGAGTACCTCCCATCGATTTGTATGGGTTTTGAGTAAAATGAAATACGTTAGTTCCAGTTCATTCTTTAATAAATATGACGTCATTATGACATCACTGCGATTATCAATTTGTTAGTTAAATTATCAGACACCTCGCTAATTTAGTACTTTTCGCTTTATGGCTACTTGTACGTTATGCGATCTTTGGATTCTGCCAATATTACGTCATAATGACGTCAACCTACGTCATTGTGTCTATAACGTTATGACCAGATGTTGAAACTGATGAGCACATTATTCTATGTAATTTTGGTGACCATACCATAGGCGGTTTTGAAGCTATAGAGGGAAGCCCACCCCCTCCTACCTTTAGCAAGCATCCCAACCCGTAAGCCACCCCCGCTGGGGGTTACAACATAGGGGTTGAAGGCGCTCCTTTGTCTTTGCCGACAGCCCGTCTAGGAGAAGGATACTCTGAATAAAAAGCAACTTTGACTAATGATAAAACATGGCAAGTCATCTTAACATAGCCAGAAATCGGGGACGGCAAGCGGCATAATCAAAAGCAATAAAAATGGCGGCCAGAGCGAATAAAAGAGTAAGCAGGGGCTTTAATAAGTGATTAAGCTTTAATGATGTGAGTACCGCAGATTTTCTAAATAATCGAATAGAAATGTGGTAGAACAAAAATGACTGCCACAGAGCTACCGAACAGAAGGAAAACAATGCTCTCTGAAGCATTTTTCCCTCGATCAGTGATGACTCCGATTCTTCATCGGTTCCAGTTACAAAAGAGCTTAGTTTTCGTCGTAAAAACGCAGTGCGTAAGTGAGTTTTTTTTTTTTTTTTTTTTTTTCGCGAGAGAAAAACGTTTGTTTTACAAGATTAACATAGTATGATTTGAATGGGAAGCTGGGAAAACTTTTCGGGACAAGAACTTTCTCTCCTCACGCTTAGAAAAGTATGAAGGTAGGCGTTGTTTTAAGAGGTTAGTAAGGGCTTCATTTTGTCTGTCTAGAGTTACTTCGATCACAAAATGCAGTGGCTAGATTGAAATTATCTTCATTTCTTGTTCGATTAAAATGTAGTTTGATCATTGTTGTTGTTGTTTGTTTGTTTGTTTTTATTTTTGGTTTTGTTTTGTTTTGTTTTGTTTTTTTTTTTTCAATTTCTAAGCTGGGGAATGTATCCATTTGGCTGAAAATTACAGAAAGTAGGAAACTGAAAAAATTTCTCCCATATTTCCTTTATGTTCTGCCTCCATATTCAATCTCTTTTTGGATTATCTGCGCATGCTTGCGGCCATGTGGTCCAAAGTTTCTGGCTATGAAAATTCTCATACCGCATCGGTCATTGCGTGGGTGAACAAGGGCCGCGTCCCCCAGTAGGAAACCGGGCTGAGGTCGAAAAATCCACTACTGGAACAAACTCTTCCCATGGTGCACTTCAGGATTTTCACACCGAGGGCACCCCTCAATTCATGCAATGCGCAACATTTTCGAGGCGGATGAAACGGATGCTATCCTGTTAATCGATGCACCAAACGCCTTTAACGCCCTGAAAAGAGCTGCAGCACTACATAATATCCGAGTGCTGTGTCCGACCCTGGCTACCTACGTGATAAACACCTATAGACAACCTGCGCGTCTTTACATTACAGGCGGTGAAGAACTAATATCAGCAGAGGGCACCACACAGGGTGACCTTCTGTCCATGACCCTATACGCCATAAGTCTTCAACCACTTATAACGCGACTGCACGTCTCAAGCGCAGCAAAACAGTGTTGGTTTGCTGATGCCGCAACCGGAAGTGGTTCCCTGCAAGACGTGAGGAAATGGTGGGATGAACTATCAGAAGGTGGTCCTCTGTCGGGTTACCTCCCTAATGCCAAGAAATGTTGGTTGATCATCAAACCGGAACGAGAACAGGCTGCCAGGGAAGTGTTTAGAGACACTGCTATTAACATCACCATAGAAGGCCACAAGCACTTAGGCGCGGCTCTAGGATCTAGATCGTTCCTTGAAGAATATGTTTGCGAGAAAGTAGACGAATGGGTCAATGAGGTT